AAAAAAAAAAAAAAAAACAGCACTCCAGGCCATATCCAAGTCTTTGAGGCCAAGCAAGTAGAATGTGTGGGTCAAATGCTCTACTTACTTTTAATTTCATTTCCCTCCCCTTCTCCCACATACGAGAAGTGCTAAAGTTTGTAACAGGACTGTCCTGACAGTGAGTCACACAGTGAAAGCAGTGATCCACCCCGGAGATCATCATTAATGCATTGTAAAGTGATTAGGACTGAGCCAGTTTTTATTCATAAGTTTGTCCAGAGGCAACGTGGAATCGTTAATGCACAAGCATAGAGAAACTTAAATGTTAGAGTCTGCCAGGCCGCTGTTTTGTGATGGTCTAATTTACCTTAATCCCCATGCCTCCCAAAACACTAATATTACTTTCTGCCGGTACATGGTGGGTTCAGTCGACTTCACTCAAAATATAAAACTGTTAGTGATTCTACCTGTGGGAGAAAGAATTGAGATGATAGAGACCAACAGCAGACTTCCAAATCCTGCCACATGGTGAATTAGATATGTTCAAAGGGAAAGGGAAAGGGGGCTAGGGTGAAAAACAAAGCAACTCCTAAGAGGGGGTACAGGGTGAGATGTAACCAAAATGCTTTATAAACGTGCCTGAGGCTAGATGTCAGAGCAGAGAAAATTAATGAGAGACATAATGATAAAAGGACCAATCCTTTAGGAGGCCATAAGGATCCTAAGTGTGTACACACTAAACGACAGAGACACAGAGTACACGAAGCAAATGCTTCGGAGAAACAGATGAATCCACAGGGAGAGCTGGGGCCTTGAGCACTCTGATCGCTAGAATTATGGGACAGAACATCAGCCGGGATACAGAAGATCTGAGAAATATGATACAATAACAGGATCTAAATGGCATAACTAGAAACTCTACCCGACAACAGCAGAATACACTGGATATTTCCTAAAGTGTTATGTAGCGGTCACAAAGATAGAGCACCTTCTAGGCCCCCCAGACAACCTGGACAGATTTGAAAGAACTGAAATCATACAGAGTACATTCCATGACCTTGACCAAGGTGGTATTCAATTAGAAATAACAGAAATATAAGAGGGAAATCTCCACATGTTTGGAAATCACAGTTCCAGCTTTATCATCCCAGTGTGTGGCTCTGAAACTTGTTGTAGAAGAGCCGAGTTTAGGAAGAGTCCTCTCCTGGGCTTTCGGAAAGCATTGCAAGCTGGGCAAAGGGAAAGCTTGCTCTGGATATTTGAAGCCCCATGTTGTTAAGGGCAAGGCTGGCAGCCGGGGTGGAGGGGAAGAGTTTAGGGGGCTGTTTCCTCCATCCTACCTGCCATTGAAGCTGGCACTGCACCCAAAAAGGAAGTATAGCTTGCTGAATGCTCACAGAATCAGTTTGGTGGCTGAAAGGACTGGGGAGGTGTGAGAGAGGTTGTCTCCAAGCTATTGGTGTCAGATAGCTGTCAGGAGCAGGGAAGCCTGAAAGCAAGATTAGCGCAGCTTCCTGGCATGTGGCTGGTGTCTAAGCGAGCTCATGGGCGTGTATCCCCCTGTTCTTTACCATCAGTCTTGTTCCACTCTTTACAAGGTTCAACACAGTTGCTTCCTCCTCCAAAGATACCTCTCCTGATTGTGCAACCTGTGGGATAAGGTTCTCGTGCCTGGACAGGCAGAGGAGTTTGCTCTCTGGGGATTGTGCAGTTGGTCCCTTGGGGCAGGTGGGCCCTTTGCTTACCCTACCACGGTGTTAGCTCACGATGTGGTATGTGGTAAGTGGACCACTGACATGTCTTTGAGCATGTATCTTCATTCCCTGTTTCAGACTGTAGAGATGGCATCAGCGTTCTTCAAGGAAGAAAGCCAGGTGGGAGTTCCTCCCGCTGTAATTTTGGCAGGAGGAGCGTTCCTTATGAACGCAGTGGGCGTGGACTTCTGCCTTCACACTTCCAGGAGGATGGTGGAAACTGGATGAGGGATGTCCGTGAGGATCCCCGAGTAAGATAGTAAGTGATCAGGCAGCCTGGTTTGCTGGTAGCAGGCCCAGAACTGCACGACTCTTTCACACTCTGCAGCCTTTTTCATCTCTCACTGGACAGGAGAAGAATGGTAGCTGTGGAATACTGGACGAGCAGTCCTAGTTGTGGCCCTGGTATCAGTAGGAGGAGGGTGTATAGAAGACACTCTTCACACTTCTAGACACTGTCCTTCTCTCCCTTGGCCAGCACTCCTTATGCCAGAGAACTCAACGAGAGGAGAGGGAAATGGCGTGGTTCACGCCAAGTCCTTATTACCATGTGCAGAGACCCACAGTCTCGAGAGAGAAAAATGGAGGAGGACACACAAGACAGAAGGGTGGAGAGCTGGTTCAAGATCACAGTGAGTATCCTGGCAAGGTCTGCATTAGCTAGAGTATTCTGGAACCTAACAGAAGGACGATTGTGTTAACTGTGGTATGTTGACAATTTGGAGAAGAACCTCTAGATGGAGAGAAGGGGGTTTAGGCAATCCATATTTGGCACAGAAACAAGGAATCATGCCAGTGGTCCCATTAGAAGTCCTTTAAAGCTAGGTAGAAAGTCAGAAAAGAACACTTAGTTGGGTCTACTCTCCGTCCTAATTCCGTATGGTCTCTGTTTTCTCCTTTTCCTTGTTTTTATCTGTAGATTCCATTTGGCAGAAAATATGACAAGGCCTGGCTAATGAATTTAATCCAGAGCCATTGCAGTGTCTTCTTCAGCCCGGTTGATGTAAGAGAGGATGGTGAAGCCAGCTGAGTGGGCACAGGGGAGGGGAAGAGGTGTGGCTCAGCAGGGGCCATTGGCATCTGACACCACTGCTTCTGCCTCCTCTGCCTATAGTTCCACTACATCAACAATCGGGCCCTGTTCTTTGTCCAGGATGCGCGCATTGCCTCCAAAATAAAGCATGTCAGGAATAAGATTTATGATGAGGAGAAGCGAAAGGTGTGTGCTGGTGGGCCATTCCTTGCACCTAGTCCTGGGGCTGGTGGGCAGGCCAGGGGCTGGTTGCTGGTTACTGGCTTTGAGATCAGAGGTCCTCTCCTTCCCGCAGATATCTATCTTTGTGACTCCTTCTGTTGTACCCTACTCTGTGAAGAATAAGTTCACGCCAGAACAAATGGAGCAGCTAAAGGTAGTGCAGAGTCAAAGCACGTTATGTACCCACTTCCCCCACACCTGTCTTCTTCCTCCAGCCCCTGATGTTCTTGTCACTGCCATCCTCACAGCCTCACAGCCGCTCTCTCTGTCTCTACAGTTCATCATGAAGAAACGATATGATGGCTCCCAGCAAGCTCTCAACCTTCGGAAGCTCCGCTTTGACCCAGGTATGTGGCTGACCCACAGTAACTCTAGGCCAGGTGAGAGTGGAGGGATCTGCCTGGGAGGAAGACACACGGAAGGCAACTTGCAGAGGATCTGTACTGACATTGGTCCGGCTGGGGCCCTTTCAGCCTTCTCACTCTCCTCTCTCTCTCTCTCTCTCTCTCTCTCTCTCTCTCTCTCTCTCTCTCGACTTTCTGAAGACTTGATGGGCCACCAGATTGAAATGATCCTGAATCGAGGAAATTGCATGGTTGCCACCCTGCAGATCATTGAAAGCAATTTCCCTGAGGTGAGGCTTTAGGCCTAGTGGCAGTATTTAGGTAGAGGGGCAGACAGGATGGGGTGCAGGGCGGGTTTGTTTCCCAGGCCCTAGATGGTAATCATGCCTTTAACACTCCCTTCCAAAAAGCTGTTGTCCTTGAACTTGGGAAATAACAGACTGTACCAACTGGATGGCCTGGCTAACATTGTGGAGAAGGCCCCCCAAGTCAAGATTCTGAACCTTTCCAAAAATGAAGTGAGTACAGGGAGCCAGTTGAAGCTGGGGTTGGGGGTGGTTGGGAGTGCACTCCAGGGTGATGGCAAGAGGCAGGCAAAGGTACCTGTGGGTGAGGGTGGGGGCTGGGGGAGCTGGTGCCAGATGCCCCTCTTTCCCTGAGACTCCTCTATCAGTTCCATCCCCGTCTTTCATAGCTGAAGTCGATCTGTGAGTTAGACAAGGTGAAGGGCCTGAAGCTGGAAGAGTTGTGGCTACAAGGGAACCCCTTTTGCAGCAAGTTCCCAGACCAGTCTGCCTATGTGAGGTGGGTCACGCCTTTGTCCCTGTGTCCCCGAGAGCCTGAGCTGTCCCCGGTATGCCCGTGCGCAGGAGGAGGCAGCCCTGCTCCTCTAGGTGCACCACACCCCTTCGCCCTCACCATCTGTGTCCTCTGGCTGTGTTCATAGGTGTCTTCCTTCTTCTGACCTGATGTGGGGTGTGTTTCCGCCTCTCTACACCCAGTCTCCCCCTCCTCCAGCATGCCCTCCCATTGCTCCCCCAAGTTGATACTGTTTTCCCTCCCTTGTCCTGAGCGTTGCCCTCCCCTTCCCTTGCTCCAAAAAGGTCCCCCTCGCCTGACCCAGGTTAACATGGACGTTTTCCTGCCCCACACTGAGGATTGAGGCCCTAGGTGGCTGCCGACATGGCATCCACTCCCCTAGGCCATTGCTGAGAGCAGTGCCCTCCTGGGGGAGAAATCTGGGTTCCTTGCATAGGTGAGCCAGAAGTGTGCCACCAGCAGCAAGCAGAGGGCTTCCTGAGGCAGGAGGGGAAAGCAGAGGACAGGGGAGGGGGAGCAGGCAGAAGGACAGGCCTCTCAGGGCTACTGCACCTCTCCTCTTCTGCTGCATCACGTCCTCCTACCTGGTCCCTCAGAGGAGCCCTCGGTAACTTCAGACAAGCAGGATTTCTTGGGCGAGGCACGGACCCTCTGACCCTTACTGAGCCTCGGGCTGACCCTTCTTCACTCCTTCTGGTTCTGGGGAATGACCCCTGACCCCCACCTCCCTGCTCCCCGTGTCTGGCTCAGACTGGGTTCACACAGGAGACAGAGGCTCAATCGGCAGCCAGTGGGTCCCAGCCCAGCAGCTGCATGATTTCATTCCTTCCTCAGGCCTCGGGGCCAGCCAGGGACAGGTAAAGGAAAGGGCTGCAGCAAGGGAGCCACAGTCTTCTCTCTTCTGCTTGATCTCCAAGACCAGGACAAAGAATCTTCCCTTTCCCCGTGCTTCGCTTCCTCTTTCTCCTTTGACTGTAGTCTCCTTTGTTTCCCCCATCCCTCCCTTCCTCCCCTGCCATCACTTCCCTTCTATGGCCATTCCCCTGCTTTCCTGATGGACACCCAGCATGGCAGTGGAGCCCTGGGCTCCCACCACATTCCCTGCTCCCTGCAGAGCCTTCTGTGGGGACACTGAGGGAGGTAAGGGAGGCAGGGAGGGGAAGCAAGCCCTGGAGCCTGGGCTCCCATGGCAACTTCTTTTATTAACCCGGGGGCATCAGGAAGGGAATCAGGGCAGTGTAGGTGGGACCTACCCAGGGGGTTGGAGAGGGAGGTTGGAGAGGGAGCAAGAGGGAGAGTCAGAAGGAGAGAGGCTGAGCAACCCTGAACTGACAAATCACGCTACTTGATTTTTGGTTTTTGGACAGTGCCATCCGAAATTGTTTCCCTAAGTTATTACGCCTGGTAAGTACCTACCTTTGTCATCATCTCCTCTTTCTCTCCTACACAACCTCCACACCTGCCCACAAACCCTTTAGGTCGTGCCTGGGTTACGAGTTTGCATGGGTCCCTCGTCCATTTCAGAGGGCATGGATTCTTGAGAAAAGCATGAATGTTCTCCCTGGAAAACATGTCTGCAAGCACACACAGAGACACACATGCACACAAAGGCTGCATCTTATTAGTAGAGGTTTCCAGGACCCCATGACACAGATGCCCACTGTAAGCTTGCCCATGGAATTTCCAGGGCCATTTCCCACCCAACCTCTTCCCTTTGTTCGCCCTTGGGTCTGTTCATCTCTTTGGCTGGTTTATCCAGTCCCACCCATGTGATCTGCACTGCTGACTTCCTCTTTCCTTCTCCAGGATGGCCAGGAGTTAAGCCCACCAATTTTCATTAATGTTGATGCCCCCGGGTTAATAACACCCAGCCAGGTGAGGAAGAAGGACAAAGAGAGATTTGGAGTGTTGCAGGGGAGGTTTAATCAGCCGCACAGTCTAAAACTGACTTGTTATTCTAGGAAAGCTATAAGGGATCTGAGACCATGAAGAACCTGGTTCTGCAATTCCTGAAGGAGTGAGACCCCCGGGGACCATGAGGATGGGGAGGGCTAGGATGGGATGGGCTGCCTTGGCACAGGTGTGTTCCTAGGACCTTTCAGGTCTCATTTGGGGTACTGACCACAGAGATAGCCTGTCCCCTTTGCTCCCCTGCAGGTATTACTTGATCTATGACTATGGAGATCGACAGGGTCTCCTCAATGCTTACCACAACGAGGCCTGCTTCTCCCTGGCCATTCCCCTCAACCCTGAGGACCTAGACTCGTGAGTGTCACAGCTCAGACTCTGGTCTTGGGCTGTGTGTGGCTCTCCAGAAGACACGGGGCAGCTCCTGGAAACACACGTGCAGCCTGGACCACCACTTCTTGTTCCTTTTTTTTTTCCTAGGAGCAACTTGCGTGAGTACTTCAAGTATAGCAGGAATATGAAGAAGCTCAAAGATCCCAGTAAGTGTGTGAGGGGGAAGACTGGACAGAGTACAGACCTGTGAGGGGGAGAGTCACAGGAGCCAAGGGACAGGATGTGTCAGTGCGCTGACCTTCCCTTTTGCTCTTTTCTACAGACTTGCGGAGACAGCTGCTGAAGTACACGAAACGTGACATTGTAGACTCCCTCAGCATGTTGCCCAAAACTCAGCATGACTGCAATAACTTTGTGGTGGACATGTGGCTCCAGAGGGTAAGCACCTGCTTCCTTCCTGGGGCCGGACTAGAAAGCTGGAGACAGTAGGAGGTTAAGTAGGATCCTGAGCTCTTGTTTTCTCCCCTTTCAGAAAACGATGCTCTGCTTTTCTGTCAATGGAGTGTTCAAGGAAAGTGAGTGTTCATAGACGCCCCTGTCCAGATCCCCTGCTGCTCTTCTTCCCGGGGTGGGAACCCTCTCAGGAGTCTCCCAGCCTTCGTGATTTTCTGCCCTTTCCTTCCTTTCCTTCCTTCTCTGTTCTCCTACCCTCACTCTGAGCACAAACCATCCTGGTCTGTCCTCGATCCGCACCTGTCTGGCCTGCAGCTCAGTCATTAGGGACACAGGCTGTGGAGTTTGATGGTTCCCCTCCCAGGTCTTTACTCTGTGACTGTGGGCATTTACTTGACCTCTCAGTTTCCCCTATTTGTGAAGAGACCGGTTAGCACCCATCTCTCAGGTAGATGTGAGGTGGGAATCAAGTGGTTTTCACTTTTAAAGTGGTTTCCCCCAGAAAGTGTTAGGGGATCCATCACCCACCAGGAGAGGATTGTTTCTATTGTTGCCTTCCCACTGCCACCACACCTTCCTGACTCCAGATGAACAACTGTTCGGGTCCTGCCCCTTTCAGTGTAAGACCCTGACTGGGGAATGCTGTGTGAGTGAGTGAAGCATGTGCAACTCTAAGAGGGCATTGTTGTTTGTTGTCCTTGAAGTACAGGGAACATCTCAGGGAGGTGTTCATGCCTTCACCCGGACTTTCATCGCTACTCCTGGCAGCAGTTCCTGGTAAGTGCTGTGTTGTAGATGGGAACGCCCATCTCAGCCTGGGGCCAGTGTTGTAGGAATGTGGTGGTGCAGTCCTCGGAGTATTCTCAATATTGTGGAAGGCCAACAGGTAGATCCAAGGAGCAGTCTAGCCTAATGGTGCAGGGAGAGGGCTCTAAAATTGGAATACCAGTTCTCTTCCTGACCCCAAAACTCACTAACTCTGTCCTTGGTCAAATTATTTGACCTCTGTATGACTTTGTCTAAAAACAGAAATAAGAACATCAAAGTTCTTGGGCTGTTGTATAGTATGAATGCATTGGGATTAAAACTGTTAAGTCCAGTGAAGTTGGTAGATGGTCTCCCCAAACGTAGGCTCCATGGGTACCAGCCACGTAATCTGGGAGTCAGGTACAATAGGGATATGGAAGAAATCCCATTGCTGAGTGGCAGTCGTTAGGGAGGATCCTGTTGGTGGTGGTATGGGGGTTGTCTACCTGTTCAGTTGCTTCAGGGACTATTTTTCTTCCAGTCTATACATTGTGAATGACCAACTGTTTGTGAGGGATGCCAGGCCTGATGAGATCCAGAGTGCCTTCTCCGTGCCCATGGCCACACCCTGCTCCAGCTCCATGCCCACCCTCTCCCAAGAGCATCAGAGAATGGTGCAGGCTTTCTCCCTGCAGTCTGGAATGAAACCCGAATGGTCTCAGAAGTGAGTGCCAGGTTACACATGTGATTGTGGGGAAGTGGAGCCAGGAGGGGAGTGAGTATAATGGAAACTCACATGGGATTTGGGAAAATAGCTATGTGGACATTTTGTTTCCCCAAATGTGGGTCTGTGAAAAAGGTATCATATTTTATACTGACGTATGTAAAGAATTTTTGAAGTAGTATGATGTCCAAGTGGCATTACCTTTTGTTATGGCTTATATCTAGATGTCCCTCCAAAGGGACTCATGCACTCATAGCTCATAGGTTCACAGCTTTTTGGAGGTGACTGGATCATGGGTGTGTCCTACTAGATCATGCCTGTGTGTCACTGGATTAGACCACTGATGGGTTTATAGCTGGGTGTGATGTTGGGAGGTAAAGCCTGGTGGGAAGAGGTGGGTCACTGTAGGGGTGGCCTGGAAAGCAGATTTGTGTGTGTGTGTGTGTGTGTGTGTGTGTGTGTGTGTATCCCTTTTCCTGTCATGATCCCTCGATGCTTCCTGCCTGCTATGCCATGAGCTCTTTCTTCTCTGCCATGTCATTCTGCCTTGGAGGCAGCCGACTATGGACTGAAACCTGTACAAACTGTGAGCCAAGATAAACCTTTCCTCTTTTCAGTTGAGGCTGTTGGTCATTTTGTCCCAGCAATGAGAAAGTAACTAAGACATCTTTCATATGGAAAAATCCAGAAGAACCCTTCACAACAAGCCCCTAGAACTAATCAACAAGTTCAGCCAGTTTGCAACATCCATAACCAATGTATCACGACGTCATTTCTATTTCTATGTACTTGCAGTAAACAATTCAGAAATGAATTTAAAAGCTAATCAATTTACAATAGCATCAAAAGGAGTAAGACTCTTAAGAAAAAAAGTAATTAAAGCAGTCCAAACCTTAACACTCTGACGTCTACAAAATGTGGCTGAAAAAAATTAAAGAAGACCTAAACAAGTGGAAAGCAAGCTCATATACATAGGTTGGAAGAGTTAATGTGGTTAAGATGGTAACATTACCTAGAGGAATCTTCAGACCCAACACAATCCCTATCAAAACCCTAGATGGCTTCTCTGCAAAAAGTGTTAAGATCATCTTAAAATGCATATGGAAAATGCAGTGGACCCGGAATAGCCAAAGCAATCTTGAAAGAGAAGGACAAAGTTAGAAGACTCACATTTCCCAATTTCAAAACCTGCTACAAAATTTCACCGATCAAGACTGAAGGGTACCAGCATATGGACAGACATATGAATCAACAAGATACGATTGAATAGACCCTCCACTGAATAGACCCTAACATTTATGTTCGATGGATTATTTTCCAGGGTGCAAAAGAAATTCCCATGGAGAAAAAAAAACAAAAACAAAACAGAAGTGTGTGTACACTTGAAGAACAGTGAATTTTTACCACCACTCCTCTAACTCAGACCACATGCAAACATTGACTGAAAATGGATCTAAAAACTAAAATCAACAGCTACAAGTATAAAACCCAACAAAGAAAACAGTTGTTAAGTCTTCATGATCTTGAATTAGGCAGCCATTTCTTATATGTGACACTGTAAGAGCAAGTACCAAAGAGAAATAAATGTTAGAATACCTTTTTTCCCTTTTGTCCTATTATTTTTCTATCGTCTATCTATTTATCTATCTCTATCTTTCTTTCTATGTATCTGAAAGACAGACAGAGAGAGAGAGAGAGAGAGAGAGAGAGAGAGAGAGAGAAAGGGGGGGGAGGGAGGAGAGAGAGAAGAGAGGAGAAGAGAGAGGAGAGAGGAACTTTTTCCTGTAAGAGAAACCATGTGATATTTAAGCTTGTGTGTCTGTGGTTACTTTACTTAACCATAGGGTCTCAAGGTGCATCCGTTTGCCTACAGATGAACCCAGTTTATGCTTTTTATGGCAGAGTAGCAAAAGAGAGAGAGAGAGAAAAAGGTATTACAATCCTGTGTGGACAATGTATCTAAAAGTGTACCTTGACTTAGTACAATTGTCTTACATGTTTTATATATTCTTTGGTCTTTTAGTCTGGTTTTCCATCTGTATATGTGAGAATTAATTTCGTATGGTCTCATAAATAAATGAATCTGGTGCTAAAAAATAAAAGGGAGTGGTGAGAGTGGGCAAAAAGAAAGAATTGAAATGTGTTATGTACATGTGCCAAGTCCCTACATTGAATGTAAACGTTATGTACTACAAACATGTACTAATAAAAGTAAAAACACAAAACAAAACAATTCCAGAATAAGCTCAGTGACACTTAGTACAAGTTCAAAAAATGAATGGAAATCTCTGGCTATGCTATAGCACCTGAAAAGTAAAACTGATTTTATACCATAAAAAGGAAAAATAGAAAAGTTGGACTTTGTCAAAATTAAAAGCTATTGCATATGGATGGACACTACCAAGAAGGTGCAAAGCCAAGTGACAGAATGAGCAAACCACAAATCTCACAGGAATACACAAAGAACCCTTACAACTCAACAATAAAAAGACTAGCAGGCCAATGGAAACATGGCAAGAGGACTTGAATTGATATTTCCCCAAAGATACAGATAGCCCACGGGCACAAGAAACATTTCTCATCAACCTTAGTCATTAGGGAACTGCAAATCTAAACCACATTGAGTTGCTACTTCATATCCACTAGGATGGCTTTAAACAATAAAATGAAAGGTAACAAGTGTTGGTGAGGATGTGGGGAAATTGGAAATCTGCTGCAGTACTGGTAGAAATAGAAAATGAAGGGGTCACCGGGGAAAACACCTTGGCAGCTCCCCAAAATGTTAAACATGCAGTTACTATATAAACCATTAATCCTACTCCTCTAGGTATATACTATGTGCATTGCAAATATGTTTACTCAGAAAACTCTGATACTTAAAATAGACAAAAAGTGAAAATGACACACATATCTTCTAGCTGATGAGTGGACAAAACCAATGTGGAACATGCATACAGCGGGATATTATCTAGTCATGAAAAAGAATACAGTCCTGATGCATGCTATGCCGACATGGATGAACCTTGAATACAGTATTCGCAGTGAAAGAAGCCAGTGTCAAAAGGGCACATATTGTGTGATTGCATTAATATGAAATGGCCAGAATAGACACATCCAGAGAGGACAAAAAGGAGAGTAGGAGGATAGTGGTTGCCAGGTTCTGAGCAAAATGGGAAAGTAGGGGATGGTCTCTAATGGTAGAGAGTTTCTTTTTGAGTTGATAAAAACTCAATTAGAATTAGATAGGTGGGAATCGAATGAATATACCAGAAAACCACACCTTAAAATGGTATATACTAGAGTATGTGTTTAGTATTTCAACTTTAAAATTATTGGAAGAATTTAAATTTTTGATTTTCATTTGTTATTTACTTGAGCGTCTTTCTTATCTTGGGTATTAAGCTCCTTAATTGTTTCAAACCCTCTTGTTTTTCTGCTTTGGTCTCTAGCAAGCATGAATGTTAGTGACCGATGTTTTGATTTTCACAAAGTCTCTCTTCTTCATCATAACCATGCTCATTCTGGCAGGTGTCCCAGCAAAAGAGCACCCTAGGTGAAGACTGGCATCTCAACCACTGTGGGGCCAGTGTGTCTGTCCTGTGGTAGTGATGAGGATCACCTGTTCTTCTCCCACCACAGGTGCCTTGAGGACAATGGGTGGAACTACACCAGAGCTGGTCAGATCTTCACAATGCTCCAGGTAAGGTCTGGGAGTGACGTAAGTGAAAGATGGATGCCTCTGGGCCTTCAGGCAGGTAGGGGCTGGGATGGCCTGGGAATGGAACTCAGGGCTCCTGGCTCTTCTGACAACCCATCCCCTTCCTTTCAGACCCAGGACAAGATCCCAGCAGAAGCCTTCAAACAAATGCCCTGAAAGGAGCCCTTGCACATCTTATTGCTCTTCACCCACATCATTGTTTCTCTGTCACCAACCCACAATCAGTACCTGTGACTGGGGTTGGAATCCTGACTCACCAAGAAGCCAAGGTTACCTGGCAGGCCAGGTAACATAACCACCCAAATGACCAGTTGTTCTGTGTGTTGTCCCCATTCAAGATGGCTGTTTATTGTCATAATAAAAAGTTACGTTGCAGGTTGCATGTTGTGTGTCCTGGATTGCTCTTCCCCCTGCCCCAGCTGTTAGCCGTCAGGGCCAGGAACAGAAGGCCCCATGCACCCCCACTCTCACCCCACTCATCCCTAGCTGTGTTTAAGCAGATCCAACAGGCTGGTCCTCATGGGTACTTTGTGAAAAAAAATCCTCCTGAGAAAGGACACGTGCTGCTTCCATAGACTGGCCTTCGGGAGGCCATGTGGCTCTGTCAGATGCTCTACCTGTGGTCCTGCAGAAGCACCACGCATATAACCTCCCACAACAGGAACTTCAAAAGGGGTGGCGCCTGGCTAGTGGGGGCTGTGGGAAGAAGGAAGAAAGGTGAGGGCACATAGATTTTACTTCTCATCCCTAATCATCTGAGCATTTTCATAGAGCACGCCATGATCAGTTTTATGACTTTCACACAGGTGAATGGGAAATGGGCCTTTCCCCAGCTCTCTCCAGGCTTCCATCTGTCCTCCCACACACTGCCCCAACCACGCCCCTTCCTGAAGGTGCTCTGGGAGGCCTCCCATGCTATGCATCTGCAGGGCGAAGGAGAGTCAGCCTGTCTGCCCAGAGCATCCCTCACAGAGCTGATGGCCGATGCTCCATGTCCACGTTCTTGGGGCCTTCGGACACTGATTTTTCACTTCCAGGCAACAACAGCAATAGCACAGAATCTCGCTTCGTGGTTGGTTCTGTGAGATCTTTCACAACGAACAACTGGGAATTAATGGTTCTGAATTTCAGGCAAGTGTGGAAAGGGTCATCTGCGCAATTTATTTCCCACAATTTGGTAATGCTTGCACTATAGACAACAAGCAGGCATCAGCTTTGAAAGCAAGATAATAGCAGTATAAAGTCTTCAAGTTACAATCCCACAAAGGATGACACAGGTGAGGAGGCACCACCGTCGACAACTTGTGCCTGCACTATTTTGTGTTTGGCACAAGCAATTGCCTTAGCACTTGCCACTTTTCAGTTCTTGATGTACATTTACATCAGGGAGCCATGAGTTGGAGAGTCAATTTCTGAAAAACAGACACGGAGGGGGAACGATGACATTACAGAAAGAATAATGTCAACATTGTACTTCCCTTAGGGCCTTTGTGGTCAGAGATAAGCTCCTGTAATTCTCTTAAGCCTTGGTCTTCTTACATACCTCAGCTTCATTGTGAGGAACAGAGGTACTCTCACATGATGAGGCAAAGAATACACTTCCGCAGACTCTTTCTCAAGTTGGATGGGGAGGCAGGAAGTACTCTTTTACACTGCATATAAACCCACATAAGCTGCTCTTTGGAATCATCTGGAACAATGTAATCATGAATGCACACATAAATGTGTATGTGCACACATTTTATAGGAATGGAGTCATAATTCCAATACATTTTGCACACATTCCCTCTAAGAGGTGAAATTTATCGATATAGTTATTTATAGTACTTTCTTCCTATAATTATTCATGCATATTCATTTTACAAGTTCATGGTTTTCACTGTGACATTTCCATACATGTATCTATCATGCACTGATCATGTCCATGATGTCCCACTCAATTTCTCCTCTCTACCGCCTCCCCACAGACCCGCTTCCCAGTCCCCAGTAGACACTTTTCTACTTTCAAGTTATCTTCCTCCCCACACACCTATGGGAGAATACATGCCATACTCTAGTTGTCTTTCTGCATCTGAATTCTTTTGCTTGCTTCGCATCGGGGTATAGATCTAAAATGTCAACCAAAAGTCTCATATGTCCAGAGGTGAGGCCTTTTGGAAGGTGATTTGATCATAGGGGTGTTACACTCATCCATCAATGAGGTCCTAAGTGAATGTGTTGTTAGGATGTGAGCTGAGTTCAGGGAGGTGGCTGGGGATGTGACTTTGGAAGTATATCTGCCCGTGTGGCTCTTTTCTTCTCTCTCTGCTTTCTGGCTGTCATGGGTTGAGCAGCTTTCCTCTACTGGTCCCATCCGCCATGCCATTTCTGCTTTGGGGCCAACTTCCCATAGACGGAACCCTCCAAACCCTCAAGACAAATAAATGCCTCCTCCTTTCAGTTGAGGGTGTCAAGCATTTTGACCCAGAGAAGAAAAGCTGACTAATACACATGATGTCCTCCAGGAACATCCATTTTCCTGTGAATGACATGGTTTCATTTTGATGGCTGTGTAACACTCCATTGTGTGGGTATAGCAAACATATATATGGAGTGATCAAAATCTATGGTGTGTGTTTAACTGTAAAAAAATTTACTACAGTAAAAGACAGGTTGCCATTAGTCCCCCTCCAAATACTCCACCTAGCTTCAAACACACTTATCCCACCATTCTTGTTCTTTCCTGATGTAGTTCTGGAAGTTGTCCTTCATAAATGCCTTTAGGTATTCAGTTGTACTGTCATGGCAGCCTTTATGTCCAGAATGAACTTGAAACATTGACTTTTCATGGTCATGTTGACTTTGTGGAAGAGCCAGAAGTCTCACAGGGACAGATCCGGTGGATAAGGTGGATGAGGACACACTAAAATGTTTTTAGGAGCCTGCCTTTCCATTGGATGACACTCAGCAGCAGCATTCACCACATTTTTAAATCACACCTAGTAAACACATGAAAGAGGACTCAAGAGCTGCTTCAGACAGTTGTGAAAACAATGGGGTAAGTGTGTTTGAAGTCAGGGAGCGTATTTTGAGAGGAATTAATGCCAATGTTTCCTGTCCTGTAATAAATTTTAAAAATGTAAAAGTTCACTCTACTTTTCTATCATCACTTGTATATAGAGTATGCATACAGTATGATTGGCCATATATATATATATATATATATATATATATATGGTATACATATGGCATATAGTATGGTATCACTGTGTATATATATATATATGGTGAATGTTGTGTATGTTACTGTATACACACATATTTATATATACATATATATACATATATATAGTGCCATATATATAGTATATATGTGCTATACTATTAAAATATACATACACACAAAAACAACACATACAGAATATTTTATTTTCCTTTGATCTGTTGATGGCTAGCTAGCTTGATCCCATCTCTTGAATATTGTGAATATGGCTAAAAGAAACATGGGGACTTCATTTCCTTCAGGGATGAACCCAGGAGTGGTACCGCTGAATCATATATGGCAGTGTTACTTGTTTTGAGTACTATCCATACTATATTCCATAATGGCTGTTTAATGTACATTGCCACCAACAGTGTATAAGTGTTCCTTTTTCTCCATAATTTTATGTTATTTTTGTTTTGTTTTATTTTTGTAATAGCCACTCTAACTGGGGTGAGATGAAATCGCAATGTAGTTTTGATTTAATTTCCCTGATCAGATAGCTAAGTATATAGAGCATATGTTCATATATTTATGGTCCATTTGCGCTTCTTCTTTTGAGGATTGCCTCCAGATCATTTGCTGACTCTGACTGGATTACTTATATTTGGTTGTTGCTGTTATTTTTTTGTGCATGTTCTTCATATATTCTGGATATTACTTTATATATTCTGGATATTAATCTGGATATTCATCTGTCAGATGAATAGCTGCCAAAGAGTTTTCTCCCACTCTGAGGTTGTCTCTTCAATTTGTCAATTTTTTCCTTTGCCGAGCAGAAGCTTTTTAATTTGACGCGATCCTATTTGTCAATTCTTGCTTTTGTTTCCTGAGCTATTGAGGGCCTATGCAGGAAGTCGTTGCCCGTGTCAATATCTTATGGTGCTTTCCTCTACAGTTTCATGTAGCATTTTCAAGAGTTCCGGGTCTTACCATTAAGGCCTTTGATCCATTCTGATTTGACTTTTGTAGCACGTGAGAGATAGGGATTAGTTTCAGTCTTCTATGGATGGGTATCCCGTTTTCCCAACACCATTTGTTGAAGAAGCTGTCCTTACTCCAATGTATGTTTTGGGCACTTATGTTGAGATTACATTGGCTGTAGATGTGTGCATTTCTGGATCTTCTGTTCTGTTCCATTTGATCTGTGTGTCTGTTTTGATGTCAATACTGTGCTGTTTTTGTTACTATGGCTCTATAGAATGTTTTGAAATCAGGTATCATGATACCTCCATCATTGCTTTGTTGTTGTTGTTGTTCATGATTGTTTTGGCTATCCAGGCTTTTGTGCTTTCATGTTGAATTTAAGATGTTTTTCCTAGTTCTCTGAGAAGGTCATTGGTATTTTGATGAGGGTTGCATTGGATGTATAGGTCCTTTTCGGCAGTAGGTCCGTTTTCCCAATATCATTCTTTCAATCCATGAACAGGGAAGATCTTTCCATATTCTGGCACCTCCTTCAATTTCTTTCTTCAGTGTTTTGTAATTTTCACTGTAGAAGTCTTTCATAACCTCACTGAGGTTTACTCCTGGAAATTTTATTTTATTTCATTTTACTTTATTTTAATGTGGCTATTGTGAATGGGATTACTTTCTTGAGTTCTTCCTTGGTAAGTTCGTTGTTTTTGTGTATAAGTCAGATTTCTGTATGTTGATTTTGTATCCTTCTACTTTGCTGAATTTATCAGTTTTACCAGTCTCTATGGTGGACTCTTTAGGATTTCCTCTATATAGTACCATATCATCATCAGTGGTAATTTGATTTCTTCTTCTGTTTGTACAACTTTTATTTCTTTCCATTGCCTAGTCCCTTGGCTAAAATTTCTAGTAATATGTTAAATAAAGAGGCAAGAGTGTCTTCTTCCCTATCGCAGAGGAAATGCTTACCATTTTTCCCCACTCAGTGTGAAGATGGCTATGGGTACATGCTTTATGTAACCTTTATAATATTGAGTTATGACCCTTCTTTGTCTAAACATTTCCATAGCTTTTACCATGAAAGCTGCTGAATTTCAACAGAGGCTTTTCGTAAATCTATTGTGATAATTATGTGATTTTATGCTTGATTCCCCTTATCTGCTGCATTGTATTTATTGATTTACATATTTTGAACTATCTTTACATACCGGGAATG